ATATACTCTCGGCTCTCGGCTGGGCTGCTCTCGGCTGGGTTGCTCTCTCTTGGAGCCTGCTTCGCAGGCAAACGAGCGCGGTTACCTTCGCTACAGTGGCGCGGCCCTTGCTGGAGTCTCTTCTCCAGCAGGGCCGCGCCGATACCTGCACGTTCGCGCCGCAGAGGTTCTAGCATGGAGGAGGGGAGAGGAACTAAACGATTAAATCCGGCACGGTATCGTATTATATCGGAACAGTTAAAACAATAATACTGGCTATATGATATACCGATGGTCAGGTTTTACATAGTAATGCGCACTGTTCTGAATATACATGGGAGCGTAAGGTCAGACATTGTGTTGATGGGATCTGCAACTAACGTCTCTTGTGGTGGTGACCCTGTTCATTGTTACTTGTGTAAGGGCATTCATTTTTTGAATGCCCTCTCTCGTGCAAGGCGTTAGCAAAGGGCGGGCCGCTCACTGCTTAGCCCACCACTTCTTCCACGCGCGGAGCTCTTTGGCGAGCTCCGCGTGGTTCTTCAAGGAGGAGCCAAGGTCGCAGCTGGTCTTGGCGTAGCTCTTCTTGAGAGCCTGAACGTGGCGTGTTGTGGAATTGTGATGTTACCACGGGTTTTCACATATGCTTCAAAATCTTTACGTAAATAGATTATCAAAGGGACGCGGCCTCGTGCTTGTAGTAGAGCTTGTTGTACTCCGTCATCCAGTGGTCAGCCCTGGTCGTCTGTCCGTAGAGGTTCCTGAAGTGCTGGTTGCTGCGCCTCCTGGGGAGGAGGGGGGAAAGGGAGTTCAGGGGTGCAATAATAATTATGTGTTGTGTGTTTAGCGGGGTTGTTTGTAACGTAATGGTTGGGGGTATGTCGTGGGTTTTACCTTCCCCCGGGGTCGTTGCTTGCTCTGCCTTGCTGCGAGCTTCGGCAAGAGCTTTTTTCAGTGGCGCCACGGCGGCCCGCGCAGCCTTCTGCACCACCTTCTTGATCTCGGGCTTTTTCAAGAAGTTCACCGCCCTCTTGGTGGCCAAGCGCTCCTTGTTCGCCTGCCGTGGATAGACGATGGGTGGTGGAGTTTGTTTCTTGGTTCGTCGGTTGTTTTTTTTTGTTTGTTTTTTGTGCAATCCGCTTGGGCCTGGAGTTTCTCGTAGTACTTCTTACTCCCGTACGGCGGGTTCCCCATGGCAGTCTTGGACTTTATGTCGAGGGTACAATCGCCAGCAACAAGAATAGCACAATCGAGGCTAAGGAGCCAAGAAGAAGGCAACTCAAATTGCAAAGGGATGTGGGGAGAGGCGGGAGAGATGAACCGCAAGACATCATCAGAAGTACTGCTGAAATGATTGCTTCGATGAAAGCATCCACTTCCCCCTCTCTCGCACCCTTCTTCTACATCTTTCCCCCTCATTTTCCTTCTTCCTCCTTTTCTCTTCCTCCCTCTTCCCTCCCTCAAGTCTCCGCCGTGCCCCGGGATACTTTAGTGTAAGCCCCTGCCGCCGCCGGGCACCCGGATACTTGAGTGCAAGTCCCTTCTTCTACTTGGCATTGCACTGCAATCACATTGCATTGCAATCGCATTGCTTGGCAATCGCATTGCATGGCAATCGAATTGCAATCGCATTGCATTAGAATCGCATTGCATTGCAAAGGCATTGCATTGCTGTCGCATTGCACTGCATTGCAATCGCATCGCATTGCATTGCATTGGCTGGGGGGGGGAAGGGAAAGAGAACGGGAGAGAGGACGGAGACGGATGAGGAAGGGGGGGGGAGAAGACGGATGAGGAGAGGAGGAGGGAAAGAAAGAAGGATGGACTGAGAGAGAGAGAGAGAGAGAAGAGAATAATGAAGAAGTCAAGGAGAACATCACAAGAACTAACGAGAAAACGGGAGAAAAAGCTCGGGAACCTCTAGAAATGAAGACGGCAGGACGGGGCCCTCGCACCGGGGGGCCCGGGGGCCCTGCCGTGGCGCTAGGGGCCTTGTAAAGTCGCCCGAAGACGGCCCTGGATTACCAGACATGGCGTTTCCAGACAACGAAAACGACCAATGACCGCCCGAGATCACCCCAGAATTGGTCCCTGACTGTCCAAGAGACCTCCAAGACGCCCCAAGAGGTCTCCAAGATGGCTCCCAAGGAGTCCCAGGAGGCACAACTAATTTGGTTTCCTTTGGTTTTTGATCTATTTTCGAGTTCTCGCCTTTTGAGTTTCCGGACGCTCCACGGCGGCCCGAGAGGCTTCAATTTCCGCTCCGAGGCATCCCCAGAGGCCTCGAAGACGGTCACAAGACAGCCCACGGGGGTCCCAAGACGGCGCCAGAGGCGCCCAAGGCGGCCCGAGAGGGCCCCAAGACGGCCCCAAGATGGAGCCAAGAGGGTTGACACGATCCGAAAATCCGAGTCTTCCACCCCGAGAGGCTCTCAGGAGGCCCCGAGAAGCCCCTAACAGGCTCCAAGAGGCCCCAAGAAGCCCCCCAGGGGGCCGAAGAGTATCCAAGAGGCCTCCCACGAAGGTCTCTGTCTTGCCATCGGTTTTTGATTTATGTTCGAGTTTTCAGCCTTTTGGCGTCCTGACGCTCCAAGACGGCCCAACAGGCCTCCAAGACCAATCCAAGATAGCCCAAGAGGCCTCCAACAGGGCCCAAGACAGCCCGAGAGGGCACCACTACGGCCCCAAGGGGGGCCCAAGAAGGGTAAGACGAACCGGAAATCCGAGCCTTCCACCCCGAGAGGCTCTCAGGAAGCCCCAGAGGTCACCAAATGGGACCCAAGAGGCCCTCAAGAAGCTCCCCAGAACGCCGAAAAGGTTCCAAGAAGCATTGTTTTCCCATCGGTTTTTGATGAATTTTAGAGTTCCCAGCCTTTTGGCATCCCGACGCTCCAAGACGGCCCAGGTGGCCCCCAAGACCGCTCCAAGATAGCCGAAGAGGCCTCCAAGAGGGCCCCAAGACGGCCCACGAGGGCCCCAAGACGGTGCCCGAGGCGCCCAACACGGCCCGAGAGGGCCCCAAGAGGGCCCCAAGAGAGCCCCAAGAAGGGGAACGCGAATCCAACAGCAGAGCTTTCCGCCCTAAGAGGCCCACAAGAGGCCCCAAGAGTCCCCAAGTGGTCCGACGAGGCCCCCCAAAGCCCCCCACCAGGCCCTAAAAGGCTCACAGGAGACGTACACGGGGCCCCAAGATATCCGAACAGTGCTCTCGATGCATCATGCTTCAAGGAGGCCCCGGGAGGCTTCCGGATTGCCCCAATGTGGCCTCAAGCCGGGCCTCCACGCAGTCAAGACGGCCAATTGATTGCTTCAGACTGCAGAACATCACTTTCCGACTGCCCGAAGAACCCTGACGATGCCCCCAAGGGATCCCAAGAGGCCCCAAGATGCCCCTGAGAAGCACCCAAGAGGCGCCTCCAACAGCCAATTGAGGAAACTCGGAGAACCCCCCCGAAGCCCTTTAGATGCCCCCACGAAGACCCAAGAGGTTCCCAAGAGGCCCTCAGGAGGCACGACTATGTCACGCGCCTGTGCTTGATAGCGTTTTCCAAGATCTTCTAGCGCGCCCCCGGCCTGGGCTAGATAGAACCTGAGCGCGCGCGAAGCGCGCGCGATGGTTCTATTATATATATATATATATATAATAGAACCATCTGCTGCGGCGGCCCTGTCGGCCTTCTGGCAGCGCTACTGCAACAGCGGCCATAACTGCGAACACGACCAATGTACCATTATCAGTGAGAATAGTTCCTCGAGTCAGTCAGATTCCACCCCCACGGGGCCACGTTCAGTTTGCAAAAACCACGCCCCAGGAGGGAATGTTGCACACCAGATCCACGACCAGGACCCTCGCCCACCCCACAGGGCTTTCGTTCATAGGACACATTTCGGCGCGTGGTAACTTACCTGTGCACTGCGCGCTACTTCAAAGACTACGCAAGTCTGGTTGCCGTTTTTTCACGACACGTGTTGCTTCGCCGGTCGGCGCGGGCCCCTGCCCCCTCCCCCCCCAACGACCAGTTCCTGGTGGCTCTTGGCGGCTGCTTCTGGCGACTGGTCAGAAGGCCCCCCCCCACGCAGTCTGCTTGCGCGACCGTTAGAAGCAGATCGACAGATCACCGGCCCAGACACAACCCCCCCCTCCTCCATCCTTCGGCCAAACGTCGATTGTTGGCCAATGCGCTGAGGTTGCGGATTGATCCGATCTTGGAAAAGGCCGTCTCCCGCATGCAGCAGGGTTTCTTGTCGGGGCGATCGATGTTGAAGAACGCCGTCGACGTGGACGCGGCCATGCGCGAGCTGTCCTTACAGAGCGAGGCGCCCGCTGCGGTCTTCTACGACTTCCAGGCGGCATTCCCTTCGCTCGCCCACGACTTCTTGACGCGCACCATCCGCCAGCTGGGACTGCCGCCGTCGGTGTGCAGATTCGTAGAGAGCCTGTATTGGGGGCACGGCTGCAAGCTTTCTGTTGGAGGCTGACTACACCAAGGTTTCCGGATTCAGGCCGGCATCCGGCAGGGTTGCCCGCTCTCGACATTATTGTTCGCCGTTGTTGTCGACCCATTGCTCCGGAGATTGGCAAGGGCAGCGCCTGCGGCGACAATCCGTGCTTACGCAGATGATCTTGTGACGGTGCTTCCTGATTTGGGTGGGGCGCTTCCTGCTGCAGCTGGACGCATTGCCCGCCAGCTGGCCTACTCCTACTACCGAAGCTCGCTTGTTTCGCGCGTTGGTGCCAGGCCCTTAGAATTGGTGCACGGCTTTGGATTTGCACGGCCTGCGAAGGGATTTAGGGTTCCCGCAGGAGTTCGTCAACTTGCAGTTCGTCTCCCTGGCAGCGAAGTTCCGCGTCCTGCACAGGGAAGCTGGCGCCCAGGGTGGTCTGCGATGTCGTGCCTGGCTGCGGAGACTGGCGTCAGCAGAAGCCACGTCGCCGCGCATCGTGCGCCGGGCGATGGCCTACTTGGTTCGGGACGTCGTTTTTCCATTCGATTGTCTCGGCAGCGGAGAGCGTCCGGCAGGCTGGCATCTCCTTGGCGATAGCGCAGGAGCGAGCGGCGGACTCTGCGGTGCGACCGTGGACGCAGGCACAGGCAGGCCGATCCGTCACGGGGCTTCAGCGTGCGATTTGCGACTTGCTGCAGGAGCGAGACCAGCGCAGCCCTGAAAGCCGAATGCGAGCCAAGCTTGAGCAGTGGGTGGTCCCACTATTTCCCCGGCTACGTGCGCAACGTGCCGTGGCGATGCTGCGGCGACTGACGGCCCTGGTGCCCCCTCGCACGACAGCAGCAGTCATCCGCACTCTTTGGTCAGGATGGCGCACCAGCCGCCGATTTGGCTGCAGAAGGGCTTGCTTGTACTGCGGGATGGAGGACGGCGGCTCGGTGGAGCACGCTTCAGTATGCGGTGCCCTGGCACGATTTGGTGCAAGGTATCTACGTCTTCCGTACGTCTCGGAGGTTGGGCCGCGGCGTCTCTCTTTCTTGTTGCTGGGGCCGCCGTCGGAGCTCACAGCTATGCGCTTGACGCTGGGGGCCTCGCTGGTGGCTGCGGCGTACCGCTTGCATTGCCGCTTTCGCAACCAGCGAGCGGAGCTGCGCGGGGAGGAAGCAGTTCGCCGAGCTTTGGAGCAGGCAGTCAAGGAAGCCGTCCAGGGCAACCACGGCGCCACCACCATCTTCGACGCAAGGTGGACGTGACCATGGGCTGCAGCTTGAAAGGTTTTTAGCAGCTTTCGTAGACCAGAATTATCGGCCACGCTCGCAGGACACTGTTTGAAAGGCACGTTGCCTGGGGGTTGCCAGCCCATCCTCGGCGAAGTCTCTTGTTGCGCTTGCCTGTCCTCCTCCTCTGCTATCTCTCCGCCGTGGCTCTCGATGCATGTTGTTGTTGCCCGGACATCGGCCACGCGGCCGTGCAGCAGATGGCGCCGTCTTGCGCTGGGGGGGGGCACGATTTGTCCGCCTACGCGTGCTGGCGCTGACCGCCGCGGCTGGCACCACAGGCCAGCAAGGGGCTGCAGCATTTTTGTTTTCAGGTTGAAGCTGGCGGCTGCATTGCGGTCGCGCGCTGCCTGGGGAAAGTTTGGCCGAAATTAATTGGCTTGCTGACCATTGTCGCGTTCTTTGTTGGTCTAGCCGTGTTTTTTCCTTCTCCCTCCCTCTTCGTTTTTCCTCTGCCGCTCCTCGTTACGCAATCGTTTCTGCCTCAAGGCCGGTACGAACTTCAAGGCAAGTCGTATCGATGCTGAGGGCTCGGCATTCGGGGTATGCCAGACCGGATTTGTTTTCCTCCCTCTCTCCATCTTCTTCGCGTCGTTCTTTGTCCCTCTCTCTATCCGCGTGGGCTTAATCAAAACCATCGGTGCTTGGCCACCGTGGCTCTTAATTGGCACCTGCGTGCCGTATGCACGGCCAGGGCGTACTGGCAGGCTACCCGCTGCCCGGGGCATGGAGCCGCTCTCCTTTCGGGAGCCGCATTAGTCCCGCGCGCCTGCGTTTGGCAGTTGCGCCCGCTCGGCGATGATATACGACATCAGTGGAGAGCATTTTGTGCCCAGTCTACCGCCTCGATCCGTGAGTGCGGGTATCATGTGCGGAGCGTTTGTTGGGGATAGTGCTCGCAGTTGTTCCCCTCCCTTCCTCTTCCTCTTGTCTTCTTCCTCCTCCTCCTCCTCCTCCCCGCTCCGGTTCGCTCGATTGGCATCTTGGCGATGAGTGCAGGCTCAGCTGATTGTCGACCGCCGAGCGCAGTTTCATTCAGAGAGGGCTGTCCCACGAACGTGGCCGAAATTATCTTTACGTTGGGCCGCCTCCTCCCCGTCCCACCGATACGATTTGGGGGAATTTCGTATCGTTCCACGCTTGCACGATTTAGTTTGCTGCAGTGGCGGGCGCCAGCATGCTGGGTTCCTCCGTGTTGGTTCCGTTTGTGCGGAAGTACTGTCTTGCTTTGCTCATTCCGTGCTCTGCTGTCCGCTTCATCCCAAAGCCTCCCCAGAGGGGATGCGGAATTCTTTTGCCCCCCCAAAAAAACAAAAAACAATCCTTCGGCCAAACGTCGAAACCCAGAATACAAAACAACGCCTACCAGAAATTGATGTTTCTTCTACGGCCAATCGAAGAGTGCTAGCTCATGGTTCTCTGCAACTGATTCATCAAAGGTGACCTGTCTGTTACTACCATGCTCAGCTGGGCCCTCCCCAAGCGCACCGCTGGAGCCCCCCTGGGGGAGAGGGAGGCGGCGGAGGAGGAAAAGGAGGAGGAGGAACAGGAGGACCAGTGTAAACCCAAGAGTCACCAACGATGTTGGAATAAACCATCCCCCCAAGCTCCTTCTTCATCGGCCCCTACAACGCTTCATTTCCACAGATGGACCTGCATCGTTGGAAGACAGCCGTTTGAAGACCCTAAAACATGCCAAACCATTATTATCGGTATTCCAACGCCACGGATCAACTTGACTGTTGCGTCTTTATGATCCTGAAACGTGCCAGAACGCCAGTCCTGGATCCTCAACTCCGCGAGTGATCGTCATTGTTGCGCCCTCAAAATCGTGAATTCAACCACCAAAACGCCATGTATGTTACGTCGGTCGTGGGAATCGTGCAAATGCTTGCAATTTGTCAACATGAATGTGCGCGGCGCTAAGGCGAGAGCCACATTTTGAAAACGAGCCGTCTTCAATCCGTGAAACTCTTGTAAATTTAAACGAATGTGCGCTGCGCTTAGGCGAGAGCCACATTTTGATACGGAGCTTCCTTCAGTCCGTGAAGCTTTTGCACTCGTTTTAAAACGAATGTGCGCGGCGCCAAGGCGAGAATCACATTTCGAAAACGACCCGCCCTCAATCCGTGAAGCTCTTGTAATTTTTAAGAACAAATGTGCGCCGTGCGCTAAGGCGAGAGCCATCTTTTGAAACTCACCCGCCATCAATCCGCGAAGCCCTTGCACATGTTTAAAACGAATGTGCGCGGCGCCAATGCGAGAACCACATTTTGAGAACGACCCGCTCTTCATTTGTGAAACTCGTGTGAATTGTGAAAACGAATGCGCGCTTCGCTTAGGCGAGAGCCACCTTTTTGAAAACCACCCGCCCTCAATCTGTGAAGCTCTTGCAGATTTTCAGAACGAATGCGCGCGGCGCTAAGGCGAGAGCCACATTTTGAGAACGACCCGCTCTTCATTTGTGAAACAGCTGTCAATTTTCAAGCTCCAGGGTCATAAATGGTGAGGGCGTCTCAGGCAAAACGCCCTGCCCGCCCTGAAAACAAGCGCCGGGATGCGACAGGGCGAAGTTAGTTATAAGGAGAAGGAATTGAGGGTGATGATGATGGTAGTGATAATGAGGATCAGGAGCAGGAGGAGGAGGAGGAGGAGGATGAAGTGGAGGAGGAGGAGGAGGAAGAGGAGCACGCAGGGACGTTCATGAGGAGCAGGTGGAGGAGGAGGAAGGGGGAGGAGGAGGTGGAGGAGGAGGAGGAGGGGGAAGAGGAGGAGGAGGCAGCGCCGTGCTCAGGAGGAGGAGGCAGGGCCGTTCAGGAGGAGAAGGAGGAAGACAAACTCTGATGCGACTACAAGGAAGCACAACACTAATGATGATAATGATAACAATATTCGTAATACTAAGACGAATCGCACATACATGATTCTAATAATATTAGAGATAACCCAAACAAATATAGCATCTTGCCAAAACGAAGGAATATCATGATACGAGCCATAGGAAAAATAGCGCACATCATACGACGACGCATACGAATAATACTGCGAATGCGAATATTTTAAACTGACAATAACAGCACGAATAATACGAAGGCGAATGCTAATACGAAGAGTGGTGCTAATACGGAGAAGACAACCACGGATGAGACTACTCATACTAAGGCTATTACGAAGCATTATTAAAACAATCCGGATATTGTACGAATAGGAAGAGGAGGAGTAGGAGGATGATGAGGATGATGAGCTGGACGAGGAGGAGGAGGAAGAGGAGGAGGATGAGGAGGAGAAGAAGGGGGAGGTGGAGGGGGAGGAGGAGGAGGAGGAGGAGGCGGAGGCGGAGGAGGAGGAGGAATAATAATATTCATGATACGCATATTACGAATACGAAGATCAAGAAGACCAACGAGGATATGGCGAATTATAAGAATAAGACGACTAGTAATACCAATACTAATATAAAAAAACAACGCGGATGACAATAATAACATACTGCTAATAATACGAATGCCACCGTGGACAATAAGATTAACACTAAGACTGGAACTACTACTATTGAAAGAAAATACTCACTTCGTGGAGCTCCCCATTTGTGCATCTCATGTCTTATATTTTGCCGTAGTGAGCGTCGGTTCATGAGCGTTTGACTATAATAGCCCGTCCACGTTGGCGACAGGCCCGACAAAGACGAGTGCATCTTGATGCGAGTGAGTGAGTATGAGTCAGAGTGAGCTGAGTATGATTGAACATGAGCCTCTTCATCTTCACTCCCCCTCCTCAGCTGCCAGGCCGTGCCCTCCTCAGCTTGCGGTAACTTCTGAGCTTCCCAGATGTGCATACTCTTACTCCTCCTCCTCCTCCTCCGTCTCCTCCGCCTCCTCCTCCTTCTCCTCCTCTCCTCCTTTCCTCCATCCTCACAATCTGCTATGAAAGCCAAGGATGCTGGGCATGAACACGAGCAAACCGCCTGAGACATCCCCATAAACTAGCCGCGAACGGGCCCGTGATATACCCCCTGGCGGCTCCTCTTAAGGGTGCTGAAACCAGCGCCCCGCCTGAGACATCCTCACAGGCTGCTATGAAAGCCAAGGGTGTTGAGCACGAACACGAGAAAACCGCCTGAGGCATCCCCGCAAACTGGCCGCGAACGGGCCCGTGGTATACCCCCTGGCGGCTCCCCTTAGGGGTGCTGAAACCAGCGTCCCGCCTGAGACATCCTCACAATCTGCTATGAAAGCCAAGGATGTTGAGCACGAAAACGAGCAAACCGCCCGAGACATCCCCACACATTGGCCGCGAACGGGCCCGTGATATACCCTCTGGCGGTTCCTTTTAGGGGTGCTGAAACCAGCGCCCCGCTTGAGACATCCTCACAATCTGTTATGAAAACCAAGGATGGTGAGCACGAAAACGAGCAAACCGCCCGAGACATCCCCACACACTGGCCGCGAACGGGCCCGTGATATACCCCCTGGCGGCTCCCCTTAGGGGTGTTGCAACCAGCGCCCCGCCTGAGACATCCTCACAATCTGCCGTGCGTTGAGTAACTCAGACTATGAGAAGGTCTGAGTATGTGTGGGTCTGAGTACGTCGGGGTATGAGTAAGTCTGAGTATGAGTCAGCCTGTGTATGAGCAAGTCTGTGTATGTGTACGTCTGGGTATGAGGAAGTCTGAGTATGAGTAGGTCTGACTATGAGAATGCCTGAGTGTGCATAAGTCTGTGTATGAGCAAGTCTGGGTATAAGCAAGTCTGGGTAGAGGAGGAGAGGAGGAGGCGGAGGAGGAGGAGGAGGAGAAGGAGGAGGAAGAGAAGAGGAAGTAGGAAGCGTCACAGTAATATCAGGAACCCCATCTTAGGACATGGGGAATAAAAGCATGATTAATATCCAGAATACTTGGGATAATAGCGAGAATACGACGAATAATCATAAGCATGAGGAATAATGGTACTACGGGAACACATGATCATAGTACTACG